TGATGGTGAATAAGATCCTTTGAAGGTCCTTGCCCTCATGGATGCCACATTCTAGTCAGAGAGAGAGACACTCAAATAGATGAGCAAGGCAGTATCGACCGTGATTGATGCTAGGAAGGAAGCACATGAGGTGAGGTAATAAAGGGAGAGAAGCTTCCTTAGTGGTGGTTGGCGAAGGCATCTCTAGAGCTAAGAGCTGAAGGGTACAAAAGAGCCAGTCGTGCAAAGCTCGAGCAGTAGCATCTTAGGCAGCAGGAACAGCATATGCAAAAGCTCAGGGGTAATAGAGCACTTTACTAGTTCAAGGAACAGAAAATATGGCCAGGGTGGAGGGCAGGAGAGGAGAAATAGAGGAAATTAAAGAGTTAGGCCGGGGTCCCTCATACAAGGTCCAGGTGGCCACGTTGGGGCTTGTGGATTTTATTCTAAGAGCACTAGGCAGGCCGGGTATGGTGGCTCATGCCTATAATCCCAGCACTTGGGGAGGCCAAGGCAGGAGGATCACTTGAGGCCAGGAGTTCAAGACCAGCCTGAGTAAGAGTGAGACCCCATCTCTATAAAAAATAGAAAAATTAGCCAGGCATGGTGGTATGTGCCTGTAGTCCCAGCTACTTGGGAGGCTGAGGCAGAAGGATCGCTTGAGCTGAAGAGTGTGAGATTACACTCTTCGCTTGAGCTGAAGAGTGTGAGCTATGATGACACCACTGCACTCTAGCTCAGGCAACAGAGTAAGATCCTGTCTTCAAAAAAAAAAAAAAAAAGCATTAGGCAGCCAGAGAGCAGCTTTAAGCCAGACAGGATGTGCTTTAGTTTTTTTGTTACCTAGTAGAGTGCAGTGATGCGTTTATAGTGCACTGCAAGGTTCAACTCCTGGGCTGTGAGCGATCCTTCTGCCTTAGCCTCCCAGGTAGCTGTGACTATAGGTGCACCTATCACATGAGGTCAGGTGTGGAATTTTCCATTTGTGGCATCATGTTGGTACTCAAAAATTTTTGGATTTTGGAGAATTTCAGATTTTGAATTTTTAGATAAGGGATTCTTAACATGTATCTTGATCAGGATTGGCTAACTGCTGTAAGAAACAACCCCCAAATTCCAGGGGCTAACACAGTGAAAGTTCCTGGTTGGGCAGTATTCTGCCAAGGGTAACTCACAGATTCAGTCTCTTTGTGTTTCATAGCCCTGACTTTCTGGTTTGGGGAGTACTCTCCCTTCAGAAAGAGAAGAGAGCATCTATCTTAGGAGGTTCTTTAGGGACCAGGCCTGGAAGTGGCACTGCTTCACTTCTACTCACATTCCATAGGTCAGGACTCAGTCACATGACCACACCTAACTACAGGGACCCTGGGAAATGTAGTCTAGCAGGATACCCAGGAGAAGGTGGCAACACTAGCCATTTCTGCCAAACTGCCAAAAAGAAGAGTGATGGTGTGGTTTCAGGAACTGCGGTGCATCACAAAAATGTGAATGGAGATAAAGCCACAGTGTCAACATCTAAAACAAATATTTTCACTTTTTAGGTAATGTATGAAATTTAGAGAAACCAATGTCATAAAAACAATGTCAGGAACCTCAACGGTATTTAGGGTATGCATTTTCTCTACTTTTCAGGTTGGCTTTTCAAAATCACTGAAAGAGATGTGAGGGTTTGAAATAGTTTTGGTTTCCATGTTCTAAAACACATGGTGTGCACATTTGATTTCATTAAACAGAGTTCAAAGAGATGGTGTTGCTAGGTGTTTTTGTTTTCACTGTAAACAAATCACTAGCCAAAAAATTAATTGTATTCCCCACTGTGCTGTTCACTGCTTGTAATAAGAAGAAACCCACTGGAGTAATTACAGGTTGCAAAATAAGTGCTGTGCTTGTTACTCAAAGCATCACCCACAGACCTGCAATATTGACATCACCTGGGAGGGTTTTTGCTTGTTTGTTTTTTAAGAAATGCAGACTCTCGGGGCCCTACCTTGGACCTGGTGAAATAGAATCTGCATTTTAACAAGATTCCCAGATGATTTGTGTGCACAATAAAATTTGAGAAACACTGATGTAGATATTAGAGGTGTGATCAGTAGTGTTCGACTTGCTAGTTTTCTAACTTCATTTATTTAAGCTTTGGAGATAGGTGAGTGGGTTGTGTGTGTGTTGTAAAGTCAGAAGTCAGAAAACATATACTCACACTATTTACATGCTCTTCATGGAGGGGTGGATTGGAAAGAGGAAAAGTTAAGTTAGGGGAAGGGAGTACCTTCAAAAGTGATCAGCTCTCAGCTAATTGTGATTTTCAAGCTTTGGTCTCCTTCGGGTTATTTTATCTTTCTGCCATCTTTATGGTCTTTGTGAATACTTAACCTCGGGGAGGTTAAGCACAATACACAGCATAGGCAGACTTAAATTTTTACACGTAAGAAAAATCTAATAGAAGAATGAGATATTAAACTTTACATGTCAGCAAGAGGCTTCTTTTCCCAGAAAGCTAGAAAAATTGAGGATCCCTATTTATCCATCACCTTGGCAATATATTTCCGACATCTTTTACGTGTGATTTAATTTTGTCCTTTTACTTTACAAACAGCACACGGAGAGTCTAATCCGGGTGGAGTATGCCCGCTTGTTGTCCTGATGCTCAGAGAGACTGCTGCTTTCACTTGGCCTCCCTGGCGTGTCGCAGGCCCACGAGCCTCAGCCTCCCCTTACGTCTTGCCCCGTGCTCCGGCGAAGCCTGGTCTCGTGCTGCTGCATTCCACCCTGCCTTTATGTCACTCCATTATTTTTATTTTACTGTGCTCTTACTGAAATGATTTATTTGAGCCTGCCAGGAGCAGGCGTGTATGTGAATTCACGCTTCTCTGTGTGAGGTAAGGTGGTGTGGTAGGCTGGGACCCTCCACCAGACTGCCTGCCTGGTCCAATCCTTCCTAGCTGTGTGGTCTCAGGAAGGTCCCATCATCTCCCTGTGCCTCAGTTTCCTCATCTGTGAAAAAAAAATATCAGACATAATTATAAGAGCTTCATCCGCAGGGACACCCTTGGTCCTCACAACAGTCCTGGGGGTTGGACACTCCTATGAGGGCCCCCTTCATGGTCTGCGACTGCCCTGGGGATCGCCGTTGAAAGGAAATGAAATGCAGTGAGGGCCTGCTTGCGCTTCAAGTAACTTGAAAAGATTTAAGCTTTTTTTGAAAATAAGGTTTACATTTAGTTGCTAATGATTTGTTATTAATATACAGGGGACATAATTGTGGCAATATAAGCTTTCTGAATGAATCACCAGTCAGAACGTAGCCAGTTAGCACCTTCAGGAGCACTAGTTTGCCTGTAAAAATGTGTAGGAAAATGGTGGTTTGCTGCATGAAGCTCTTATGTTCTCTTTGACAGTCTTAACATTTTCGATATGTGCTGTCCTTGGATTTAAATATCTAAAGGGGAAGAAGAGTTTGCTTAACAAGTATTCTGTTGTTTATTTATGTGTGGTTTGTGGTATCTGCCTTCAAAATCTCTTTTCTTTTCTCGCTGTTCAGCTTCATGCTTTTCCAGGGCTGTTTCATTGACTCTCAGTGGATTTGATTTCATTTCTATGTATGGGATGCTTCAGTTTACTAGGTGCCCACACTTTGCCTTTGAATTACATGTTTATTTCTTCAGTTTCCTGTGGTTCCTGCTTTTCCTTTTTTTTTTAGTTGTTTTATGTTGTGCTATTTAATAATTGTGCATTTCAGGCCGGGCGCGGTGGCTCACGCCTGTAATCCTAGCTGTCTGGGAGGCCGAGGCGGGCGGATTGTTTGAGCTCAGCAGTTGGAAACCAGCCTGAGCAAGAGAGAGACCCCATCTCTACTAAAAATAGAAAGAAATTAATTGGACAACTAAAAATATATAGAAAAAACTAGCCAGGCATGGTGGCGCATGCCTGTAGTCCCAGCTACTCGGGAGGCTGAGGCAGGAGGATCGCTTGAGCCCAGGAGTTTGAGGTTGCTGTGAGCTAGCATGATGCCACAGCACTCTAGCCGGGGCAGCACAGTGAGACTCTGTCTCAAAAAAAAAAAAAATAATAATTGTGCATTTCAGTCTTATATGATGCCATGAACTCTTTTAGAAAAAGAGAATGTATATAAAGTTCTCAACAACAGCAGCAGCAAAAACTAAAAAAGTCATGGACTTTATAAGGGAGGAGTCTTGGGCCTGTGAACAGAGATAATCGCAACTGTTCATGCCTATGCTGTTCAGCATGGTGGCCGTTAGCCACATTTGCCTATTTAGAGTTAAATTAATTAAAAATTTTAAAATTAATTACAAATTGATTCACTTCCTCAGTCATGCTAGCCACATTTCCAATGCCCAGTAGCCCCTGTGGTTGTGGTTAGCGTTGGATGGCTCGGATGGGGAGCACCTCCACCATCGCAGAAAGTACTAGCAGACAAAGCATTGAGACTATAGACACATAGGGCAGCCTTTTCAAGAAGCTGTGTTTTCTACTCCAGATTAATTTCATTTTACCCAAAGAAATAGACTCTTCAGTATTTTTCCAGAACAAAATTATATTGTTCTCAGCCAATGAGGACTGTTTTAGATAAGCATATTTTCATTTTCAGTGGGAGTTTATTCTTTATTAATTATCTCCTACACAATAGTATCCAGGACTTCAAAACAAGATGTATTTTCCTCACTCCAGTTTGAACCTGGAGCATTTGGAGAAATTTGGTTTTCAGCAACTGATGGCCTTCTGGATACTTATGTACATGTCACCAGTGGTAGCTTGAATTATTTTTTCTCTTATGATTTCTTTCCCAAAGCTATAAAAGTGCCCTATAATCAGTAGTAAAATTTTGTCGATAGCATGTTTCTGAATTCATTTTAAGAGTAATCTGTATCATTTTCCATTCTAATTTGTATTGAGGACTAATTTGTGTTTGTATCATTTTCCTGTTCTTTCTTTTTCGGTACCATGTTGTCTTATTCCAAGTTAAGGAAATAGAATGATACCAATAAGAAAGCAAACACTCTTTAGCCGTTCAGTTTCATGTTAAAATGACTCTCCTGTTGAAAATGCCAGTGTGGCTCTACGGGAACTTGTGCCTGCCTTAGGACTTTAAGTCTGTGCCGCCTCTCTAAACACGTAACCACAAGCGGTTCTGTTGAGGGCTCGAATTTGTTGGCAAACAGAGAAGGTGATTGAATGATCCATGGCAGGTCTCCTACTCCATAAACACAGATATCCTGGACATAATGGCCTGCAAAAAGAAATGCAAAAACTTAGCTGCCTTTGTGTCTCCACCAATTTTATCCACACAAAAATGTGGCACATGCCTCTTCTAATGTCATCTGTAAGGCCTCTTAGCTTCATAAGAGCTCGGATCAAACGGTAGTTCCATGATTGCTTCAGCAGGTGCTTTTATGTTGAATTTTGAATTTATGATGGAAAGGGACGTTTTCATTCTTTTTGTTAGGGATTTCTAAAATGTTTGATGCTACTTTAGGTGAATACTGTGGGATTTTATCTAGTCATGGCACAAGGGAGATGAAATAACACTCACTTGCTGGGTAAAATCTAAATTCCGATAGATTCTAAGTCTTTCCTTGGTTATAGGTAGTTCATAAGAATGGAGTTGGTTTTAATAAGTCATTACTTCTGTCATTTATTGATTTTTCAGAATGAGTGTTTGATATAAATATCAGTAATTAAAATGGGAATGACAGAGTCCAGTGCTGATTAGAGTCCTGCTAGATGAACTCAGTAGCTCTCTATGTGCCTGACACTGTGTTTGACTCTTTCTGCTCTCTCTTCTAATCCTCACAGCCACACTCCAAAGTGGTTTCTCTCAGTACCCTCAGTTTGCAGGTGAGCAAACAGATTTAGAGAAGTGATGCAGAGAAAGGGCTGATCACTTCCAAGACCTCACTCTTTCTCTGCCCAGGCTGCCCCAACCAGCTCAGTAATCCTCCTTCTAAAAACCTATCTAAAGGAAACATTCTTTTAAAGCGGGGCAGTGGGGAGAAGGAGAATGCATGCACAAAAAGTCTCTTGTTTGTTAGACTAAAAAAAATAAAAACAGGTTTCTCTCCTGTTGAGCTGGCGTTCCTGTACATCGGGGGCCTAGACCTGGCACGTGGTAGCGTTGTCTAAGTAACAGCTGTTATCATAATTAAAGCGTTTTTAACTTACCTGATAGACATTCTTGGTACAGTGTGATAGAATCTCAGTACAGTTACATTTAACCCGTTGAAAATTATAGACATGAAGACAAGCAGTAGAGAAAACTTAGGACATAAGTGAAACACGATTCAGCCACACCTTGATTATAATTGTGTGACTATCATTTAGATGCAGATGGATTTGAACTGGAAGGGAACACAAATAAATGGATGTTTTCAGTGTTGCATTAATGCCATCTGGGTGATTAAAAATAAATGAACTCTTTGTCGTTGATTATAATGGGATAGCTGTCCTTCTGCGTGCGGAGTTAGGCTGTGAGCACGCCCAGTGTAGTGGTGGCAGGTAGCTGTGCCTGGTTTGAGACCCAGCTCTGCTACTTCCTGTGCCTGTGGGAGTGACTTCACTTCTCTGAGCCCTAGGTTCCTCATCTGTAAAGGGTGAAGGATAGTACAGTCGTTCCTTGGTATATGCAGGAGATGGTTCCCAGACCCCTGGTATCCCAAAATCTGTACATACTCAAGTCAAATACTGTATTTTTTAGATCCTAGTTTGGTTGAAAAAAATCCGTGTGTAAGTGGATCCTCACAGTTCAAACCTGTGTTGTTCAAGGGTCAACTGTAGCGTCTACCTTACAATTGTTGAGTGCAAGGCCCAGAGCCAGAGTTCTAGAAGGTTTGCCACCATCCCTTTACCTCGGCACTCGTCTTACATTGAGTGCTGACTAAATGCTGGTGCCAGATGGCCATGTTACTGCTTTACTGTGAGAACCATTTGTGCGGTGAAGCTAGTGGTGGTAAGAACCTTCTAAAGCATTTACTTTCAGGGAATAATGACTTTGTTGGGATTCACAATAACTAGGTTTTTTTTCTTTTTCCCCAAACACTGTTGAGACATTCAGGGTGCCACTTTAAGAATTCTAAATCGGTGCTTTACTATTGATAGCAACACCCCTTCATGACTCCTTTTAACATCTGCACACCTGAGGATGTCGCATTTTCAGGAAGGATCAAAGCCCCACACACACACTTTTCTATGTGTCTGTTAACTAGTCCTGACAACCCCAGTATGTGATGACAGTGAGCACTTGCTTTTTAGAGAAAGGGCAAGGATGCCCGTTGTTTACCTGTCACCTTCTGCCTATGTGAATAGCTCCCTAATTGAATCATATCTACCTTAGAAAATTACTCCAGCTCTTCTGACGTGGGACCTGTGTGTCAGGAGGATGGCTGTGCACACAGCAGGGGGACTTACTCATCTTTGGACCATTCTAGTATTTGAATTTATATTTTTTATTTGCCTACCACCTGTTTATTTTAGGTCATTCTTTTAAACAACTGAAAAACTGGATGAACCTAGTTTGTTTTGCATATCTAGTCTACCATATTCAAACCTGAGGGCCCTACCAAATGCACTTACTGAAATAGGTTATCGAATCTCTGCGCAGTAGTTCCTGCGGGTGGGTCGGAAGCTGCGTGTAGACGAACGGCAAGTCCAGACATCCTTGAAGAGGGCGTGCTCTGCCACAGCTGCCCTCACGTGCAGTGCTGCTCTGCCTTCCTGCATTCTCTGTCCGTTTTTCGGCCCCCCCCCCCCGTTTTCCTTTGCATGAGCTCTCCCGGAACACTTGTCCAACTGCTGGACTTTCATTGTGCTATGAATTTTTTGTCATCCCTCTTGTTCTCCAGAACTATCTGTTCTTCCCAAATAGCCATCTTCAAACTGGGGGTTAAAAGATGGGAAGAGCTGGGCCTTCCCCCTCAGCCCCCAAGGTAGCATGAATAGCTCCCCAGGAGCCGAGTCCCAGCTCCTCACTCTGTAGGTTTCCCCCCAGCAAACCCAACCAATGTGCCTGAGAACCCAACGCCTGTGCAGTCAGCTGCTTGTCTTCCAAACCGTTCACAACGGAGGGCCTCCACCCTCCCCCATTCCAAATCTTGCCTTTGTGTATTGCCCCAGCAACTAAAACCTCTGGGACACCAGGCAGAGGGGCAAAGACAGAATTCATAGTTTCTCAGGGAGAATCTTATGAGGGCAAAGCAAAAACACCTTCCTTCAGCAAGAACTACTTAAGAACTACCCAGAGAGGGCTCTGTGCCGTACCTAAGGACCTGGAAATTAAGATTTCAGGGCAAGAAGGCTGCCACAACAATGCATACAAAAACATTTGTTTGAATCTAGCCAGGCATAGTGGTGGTTACCTGTAGTCCCAGCTACTCCAGAGGCTAAAGCAGGAGGGACCACTTGACCCCAGGAGTTCAAGCCCAGCCTGAGCAATATAGCGAGACCTCGTCTCTTAAAAAAAAATTAAAAACAATTTATTCGAATCTAAAAATGAAAACAAAGTCAGACTTTTTCAGAAAGTCAGTCTTTGATTTGATTAGTTTGACCACGAAGTCTATTAAGTCTTACGGCAGAGGTTTCCATAAATTGAATGAACATTAAATCTGTAGCTCCAAGAGTCCGCTGAAAAAACACATGTACAATTTTTAGGAAAATATACCTTTGCAACAGTTAAACCTATAATAACATTTTTCCCTATTTCTTTTAGAAAGCATGCAAGCAAAACAAACGTGAAGCCCATTGCTCTCGAGCAGGCACAGCAGACTTTATCTGTAAAGAGCAAGAGAGTAAATATTTTTGTCTGTGTAAGTCAGACGGCCTTTTTTTAACTACTCAATTCCACCCTTCGTTGTCATAAACAATATACCAAAGGAATGGGTGTGGCTGGGTTCCAGTAAAACTTCCATGAAACAAGCAGCCGGCAGGCAACAGGCAGCCAACAGACAGTAGTAGTTTGCTGACCCCAGCTTTGGAGCACATGCTCGTGTTGGTTGTTTTATATTCTAATAGACCAAGGGAGGCACAGGGCTCATTTTTAATAAATGTTTGAGTTTGAATTCTAGGAGCACGTAGAAAAAGCCAGATAGGTAATGTATTAAAGTTTTGTAACTTACAGCCCTGCTGTGTGTTCACTTTGTGAAAATTTATCAACCTGTATTTTTATGATTTGTGCACTTTTCTCTATGGATCTTAAATAAAAAGTTTCTTTTTTTTTTAAACAGGGTCTCACTCTGTTGCCCTGGGTAGAGTGCAGTGGTGTCATCATAGCTCACTGCAACCTCAAACTCCTGGGCTTAAGTGATCCTCCTCCTTCAGCCTCCCGAGCAGCTGTGACTACAGGTGTGCGCCACTAGGCCTGGCTAATTTTTCTATTTTTAGTAGAGACAGGGTCTTGCTGTTACTGACGCTGGGCTTGAACTCCTGGTCTCAAGTGATCCTCTCACCTCGGCCTCCCACAGTGCTAGCATTACAGGTGTGAGCCGCCTTGCCCGGCCTAAAATTTTTTTTTTTTCATTGACACACATTCTAATTGGATCACCACTAATTCCAAATTACTTTAAACATGATGATCAGTCTTCTCCTCCTGTAATTGAAGCAGCAGTTGTATAGTTTTTGTAAAATTTGGAGGTGCTTTTGTTTGTTTTTACCTTTACATCCGTCATGAGCATGCCCTTCCTCATTTCTGCGTTTAACAGCTCTAACATTTCCTTTCCAGCCAGCATTTGGTGTAGCACCCGGAGCATCTAAGGGAGAAAACAAAACCAGCATACAACGTGGAATCTGTTTAATAGCTTTCATGTTCTTTTAGGCCAAGCTCTTCTGTGCTGTCATTTCCATTTACCCTGGATAAGGTAATCGGTGAGAAAGGTAGAGGGGAAGGTCCAACCTTGATTAAAATGTTTCGTTTGTTACATCTGATCAAGGGTAGTGCTTTTGGGGGTGGGGGTGTGCACCGCGCTGGCAGGAGTACTGGGGTGGACCAAGGTCTGGATCTCCATCTTTGCACTGAGGTTTCATTTTCCATCCCTTATAACTAACTCACTTGCTGTTTGCAACGTGCTCTTCATGATGCTGTTGTGGTTCTTTGGATTGTTTGCTCCGTAACAGCCTCTGGGGTGATGTGAAAATAGAACTTGCAGTGGGTAGGAGAGATTATTAAAAGGTCCTAACCAATTGCTGCTGGATTCATCATTTGCACTGTTGTCTCTACTGATTAGCTTAGGTGTTCAGGCTTGAAGCCATACTCCCCATAGGAGCCAATCCACCTACAGAGAAAATACTGAAATCCACTTAAAGGAGGGCATCCAATTTCCCTCTGCCTCTCAGAGAACCTATCTGAAGTATCCCCTTTGCCACAAAAACATTACTAGTTTTAATATTTTCCATTCTTAAAGAGCCCTTAGTACAATGCCTGGCACTAGTAGGTACTAGTAGTGTTTATCAAGTGAATGAAGAAGGGAAGAACTTCTCAAAGGTTTATACTTAGAATTTTCAACAGGCTTTATCTGAGGAGAAGCAAAATGCCAGTACTTCTTTCTGGAGTGGGAACTGAAGCAGCCGTGTTGGTTTGGGAACATGGCTCCCTTTCAGCCAACTTCAGACCCCTAAAATCAAAGAACTTCCTGTACTCCCCAAGTGGAAGGTCTTTCAAAATTTATAGCCATAGAAAAATAGCTGAATAGAAAGAATCTTCAGTTAAGAATAAAACTTCTCCTGCTGTTGCTTCTGACCTGGATAGATATCCCTATTGTGGGATTGTTCTTACCTTTTAGTCGGTTCAGGGTCACCCAGTAGTGTTGCTCTGGGCTGTGGATGTCTTTGGACCACTGAAGCATGTCTTTTGCACGGATGTCAGTCAGTATGAACTCTACAAACTTTCTCGTAAGTACATAGTAAGCACTTCCAAAATAAATTGTTAAGTTGTGGGGTGGTTCATATTTGAATCTTTTATTTGGAGATACATAGATATTTCCTTCAGGACTGAATTTGGGATGACTTTGACTTGTCTTGGATTTACTGTTTGGTGGTTGGATTACTCCAGGAGTGATATTTTTATCATTCCATTTGCTTCTGATATAGTGTATGATTTCTTTGTTGGTTTTGATTGGAAAATCCTGTCCACAAAGATTAATGACATAGTTCCATTGAAATTTGTAATGCACTAGATCTTTCATACAATTAATATCTGCCTGTAGTCTTGTAAAGCCAGTGTAAGCAACCTTCTTTCTCTTTGATGAAATAAAAATGTTTTTAAAACAGTTAACCAAGGTTTGCACGGCAGTCTTATACTTCTTTGGGGCCTTTTCATCAACATGAATACAGTAAACATTTTGAGGTGCATAAATAGCTCTGAGAAGCTGCACAAACATGGTTAGCTCCTTATGAATAGTTATAATGTATGCCAGAGAGAAATTGCCCTCTTCTGCAGACAGGGGTCTGGTTATGAAATGCAACCCCTGGGAAATCCTGGAGCAATTTCCTGGTTTGTGTAAATGAGCAAGTATTTCAGATCTATGTGGGTTTTTACAAAATTTTGCAATTTGGGGGGCTGCCCCTTTCCCTTCAAATAAAGCTGAACACAGTTCATCTGGATAAAAGCCACATTCCACTACTGCTGGATAGGTGGGTTCCTCCTCTGGTTCCTCACGAATTGAAGTCCTTAAATAAAGAAAAATGAAGATGCAAATAACTGTGCAAATGAGAAGTCCAGACTTTGTGGCTCGAAACTGGCTCATGTTCTGAACTCCAAGTGCATTCTTATTACCATAGTTTGAAATTTTTTCTTTTATGCGTCCTAAAAGACATAACAGATAGAATTTAGGGTCTTATAACTTTTTCTCCTAACTGTATTGAAACGTCCTAAACTACATGTATTTAAAGTATATAATTTGCTCAGTTTTTATGTATGTATATACCTGTGAAATCATCACCACGGTCAAGATAACAAGCATTTCCCTCACCC